GAGAGTGGCCTTTGAAGAAGAAAAGTGCGTGGTTATGGCAAGCAGATCAAATCGCACTATAATGGAAGTAAGTACCATAGTCCTCCCCTTTCCCTGAATTATATTAACATAATCTAAGGTGTGGTCATTTTCTCCGCCAGAAGATGTTCTGTATGAGAATCCCTATGGCCAACAAACTCCTCCCATCACTGGGCCCGCTAGACCACTAAGTGCCATCGAATATCGGAGCGGTAGTCAAGACCAAGCTATGCAAGGGATCATGACACATGAAGCATCTTATCAGAGGGATGATATTGAAATGGTCGATGCTGGACCATCGACAGCTCCTCCGCAAGCTACCGGGCCTACTTTCTTTCACGAAGATGACTGATCCAGGCCATTTAACTAATCTATATAATAAGCACTCACTAATTCTGATTGCTTCTTTCACGTACTGGGTCATGGAATCTATAGTCACTACCACCACTTCTCCATTGAGAGATGATTACAATACTGTGAGAGAATACGGTCTCACATATTTTACCGTCATCCTTCCGCAATCCTCATACATCACCTACCTATTTTATGTCCATATTGATTGACCTTTGATTGATCGAAGCACAGAAGACTTGTTTATAAAGAAGCAAAGAAGCATCTGGGGCAGGGCGTTTTTCATTTGACTGGTTGGCAGAATAGTACAGATGATTTTTAATAGCTCAAATACCAATAGGGCAAAGGAAAGGGGGACAGTTCAAAGGGAAGAATTTAACGGCGTAGCATCGAGAGAATCTGCATTAGGGATTCCCCAGGGTCAGGGAGTTACTTGCTTAAGCTTGTCCTTTGAGTTGGTAGGGTAGCATAGTAAAATGCGAAAGAATCAAATCTATGCTATGGCTTTTCTTCTTGAGTGATCGATGAAATAAAGACTGAACGTGGAAACCCGAGTTAGACAAGAGGGTCCGCAAGTAAGGCCGAATGGTAAATTGTCGGGCTCTAACGTTTCCGTTACACGTGATTTTGGGTCGGAAGCTTGAGGAACAATCTGTCCGAACTAAACCAAAATGGGACTACTCTAATCGAAGCATCCCAACCGTCAACATCTTTTGTTTGGCAGCTGCTGAGAAATTTCCACGAGTTATCTTCCGCCTCCCTCACTCCCTACAACACATTCTCTACCACCACAACCATGTTCTCGAGAGCATTGAAGGCACGATCTGCCGCACCTCTGCGCAGAAATGCCATTTCCAGAGCTGCTCTCGTGAAGAGAACGGTTACCACAGACGCCGCCTCCGCGCACGCCGATAAAGATGCTGTTCCCCAAGTAAGATTTCCTGTTGAGATATCCCAATTGATTATTGCATACATGGAATGTGTATATTAATGATTCTCTGGGACGATAGGAAGATGATAAGCCATTCACATTACAATTATCGGACGAGTCTTTCGAGACCTACGAGCTCGATCCTCCATCCTACACCATGGAGACCACCAAGAAAGAGCTGAAGCAGATGTATATCGATATGGTTTCTATGCGGTAAGATCATGATTTGGTATCACGACCGAAGATTCCGCTGATGGGAAAATTTAGTCGTATGGAAATGGCAGCCGATAGACTCTACAAGGAGAAGAAAATTCGTGGTTTCTGCCATTTGTCAACTGGTCAAGAAGCCGTCGCCGTCGGTATCGAGCACTCTCTTACCAAGGAGGACGACATTATTACTGCATACAGATGCCACGGTTTTGCTCTTATGCGCGGTGCTTCCGTAAAATCTATCATCGGTGAATTGTTGGGTCGTCGTGAGGGTATCGCCTACGGAAAGGGTGGTTCCATGCACATGTTCACCAAGGGTTTCTATGGTGGAAACGGTATTGTCGGTGCCCAAGTTCCAGTTGGTGCTGGTTTGGCTTTTGCTCATCAATACAATGGCAACAAGAATGTCTCTGTTGCTTTGTACGGTGATGGTGCCAGTAACCAAGGACAAGTCTTCGAGGCTTTCAACATGGCTAAATTATGGAAATTGCCAGTTCTCTTCGGTTGTGAGAGTAAGTATTTAACCTGACTATGAGGCTGAGTGTATACTGATTGTTTCAGACAACAAATATGGTATGGGTACCGCAGCCAACAGATCTTCTGCTCTTACCGATTACTACAAGCGTGGTCAATACATTCCAGGTCTTAAGGTCAACGGAATGGATGCTCTTGCTGTTAAGGCTGCTGTCAAGCACGCCAAGGAATACGCCAACGCTGGTAACGGTCCATTAGTCCTCGAATATGTTACATACCGTTATGGAGGACACTCCATGTCCGATCCAGGAACCACATACCGTACTCGTGAGGAAATCCAACGTATGCGTAGCACCCAAGATCCAATCGCTGGTCTGAAACAAAAGTTGATCGAATGGAACGTTACAACCGAGGATGAGTTGAAGTCCATTGACAAGGAGGCAAGAGCCAAGGTCGATGCGGAGGTCAAGGAGGCCGAAGAGATGCCTTTCCCAGATGCGACCCCACAAATTTTGTACGAGGATATCTACGTAAGGGGAAGCGAGCCTCAATACATGAGAGGAAGGACGAACGATGAGAACTACTATTATTAGGTTGTTGGGACTGGAGTTGTTAGATGGTTGGAAGGATCGGAAGAATGAAATGTATAGTATGAATGGCCGACAGAACGATCGATTGTTGGCAGGACGTGGAATGACTGAATGATAGATGGGTGGTCAATGCTTGCAATTCTTTTCGTTCGCCAACTCACATATGATACACCTACCTCCACTACCCTGTCTTCGTTTCGTTTCGTTTCGTTTACTGTAGTTGAGATGAATTGAGCGCATACCCTATCCTACTACTGACTGATACGTGCTGTGATCCTGAGGCATCTTATGTTGTCAAGGCTATTTTAGGGTTACTACACCCTCCCTCCCACTCTAAGCACATTTATTGACCACACAGCTTCAACCCCCAAGTGGGAGGAGCTTTCTTTTGAACGGTCCTTCGTTGACATAGTCGGATAATCTGTGGAAAATTGATGCCTGGCAATATGATTTCAGAGCATTATGGGTGATCGACTATTCATGGAACCTGCCCCGTTTTGGAAATGAGAGGTGTCCTTTCGAAAATGAGTAATAAGTAGGTAGCAACGTCAAAGCCTGAATTGTTGGCAGCTAGACACAAGTCTAGAGGTAGTCTAAAGGTAATGGTTCAATTGGTACAAGATGAATGTCCAATCAGATACTAAGCTCAGCTTATGTAAACGGTGTTTTTTTCGCTTGCTTCAAGCTAGTTGGAGAGGATGATCATTCTCTGGAATTTATAGTTTCTCGGCTACTAGGGAGTATCACTGGTCAAGTCTATAAGAATAATAATTTTGAGAGACTCCTCGTAGTAACTCTTATTTCTTAAAAGAAAAAAACCGGTTATCATTTTTTTGTTGGTTGTTATTATAACTTACTTCACACAATCCTCATCACTTCTATTCATCCCTTCCTCGACAGCTTCCTTAATACCTTTTCAAAGTATTAAGATTCTCATCCTTGAAGCAGGTTTTATCATCTGACTCTTTAATCCATTACCATTCTGAAGAATTCGGCATCATTCTAGTCCAAATACCGTTCGTTGTATTCACACTATAACGATAGAAACAACGATGGCGACCTCGAGCACGTTTACATTTTTTCCAGATCTACCCATCGAAATTCGTCTTTGTATTTGTAAGTTGGCTTGTTTCCAGCAAAGAAATATCGATGCATCATTTCGTTCACTCCGAATGGGTGGGAACGTGGGAAGATGTCCGCCAACTGGAGGTCAACTGGTTACTTACACTAAACCTCCACCGATCCTACATGTCAACAGAGAGTTCAGGGTGGAAGCCCTCAAATATTATAGCCATGTAGACTTTTCACGCGAAGTATTTGGCGGACCGTTGAGGGATTCTCAGCTCTATATCAATTGGGAGATAGATCGATTGTGTTTCGGCTCATTGATTGATTTCATGATTCATGAGGGAGGCTTTTATAGCGAAGGAACAACTATTAGTGCGTTCGAAGTACGCAAAGTATGTCTGAAAAATGGACTGAAATATTTGGGCTGGAATATAGCAGACATTGAAAGCTTAGGCACAGAGGGTAGCAATAATTTGCGTGGACAAAAATCAATGGAAGTGGCGCATATACTTCCCTGGAGTCATCAGATTGACGATTTTTTTATCTTTTATAATAAGGGGACGGAAAATTCTAATTCCAGAGGAGAAATCGTTGAATTTGGTTCGGCTCCATTAATTTTACGTGATAATAAAACATGGCTTCATGGCATACATTTTAATACAGCGAAGAATGACTTCCAGACGGGAAACGGTTTTCAAGGTGCCGGTGCACTCTTCCTTCATCAACTCGATGTTCTTGATCAGCGATGGTGGATGTATCATAGGTTTTTGGGTCAAGAAACGACGACGCAGGCTTTCGAGCAAGGGCGGGAGGCAAGAAAAGCTGTAAATCGAGTGCGTCTTGTTTATAACATTGGGAAAGTGGAGCCTGCGACAATTTGAGCGGTCGGTTATTGTCCAAATGTATAGATTGCCTGCCTGGTGCGGTCAGAGTCCTCATTATGATCTTACTTGCTCGCATATATTTTCTATGGACGTGGCTAGTGATGTGTCATAGCTTTCTCGAAGACAGTTTTACAATCGCATTGATTATATCTATGGCGTTGAATAGAGCTTCATTGTTGGCTTCTGGCTGCTATGGCTATTCGAAGAGAACGATCAAAGGAGTGTGACCAATTCCGGTTCATAACACATTTCTTTGTATGTAAGATTTGAGATTTGGGAAACAAAACAATTAATCACGACTACGATTTTAGTGGCCGGATCAAGTTAGAACGCAACAAAGGGGTCGCTATGAATAAAGCCAGCTATTTGATCCATGTCTGCACTGCAGGTTATCATTGCTGTGATCAAGCACCTTACCGAAAAGTTAGTATCGCACACGTAACATTCTCAAGTACAATGACAATTGCATACAGCATGGCCGACATAACTGGACGCCGCAGACGAGACTTCCCGTACTCGAGACCTGGCTTGATGACTTTGTCAGAAGGGCGGGCGCAAAGTCTAAGTGGCAAAACAGAGGTTGGACGTAGTTTCAGCAGTCGCGACTCGGCTGATCTTTCAGGAACAATTCAAGGTCCTGATGAACGACCTGCAATTCGTCCGCAAGCTGTTTTTGCTGGTGGCCTTCGTGGAGGAAGTGGTCCTGGATCACCGGGAACGGGAGATGGTGAGATTGGTTTATCTGGCATTGGGAGACCGGCTCAGGGTACAGGACAGCCGAGTCCCAAACCTGCGGAGACTGAGAAGGATCCGAATTTTAAGATCCCTGCTCCTACAAAAGGGAAACCACCACCATTGGATATTTCGCAGTTTAAAAATCCAGATGGTACTTATGATATGGCTAGAATACAAGCTGTGGTATCGACTCGGGTTCAGGCTGGAGTTCGAGAAACGAGAGCGGAGCGTCGGGCAGAAAGAGCTCGGGGCTCCATGGCTCCTGTACCGGCGATGAAACCCCTTGATACTACACAAGCAACGGCACCTTTGAGTAGGGCAGAGGAAGTTAACCCTTTGCAAAGTCCTTTGAAAGATCCTTTGCAAGGTGATAGATGGGGCGGGCGAGGTAAACCACCACGAAGACCGCGAAGACCTCTCTTTCTCTCCCCTGATCTCTCCCCTATTGCTGAAAGAAGTTCAACGGGTAGTAAGAAGACGGAAAATTTTGAAAGTCCAAAGAAAACTGGAGGTGGTGAAGACTTGGAGACAGGGGAGGTAGATTCGCATAAGGGAAAAGAACCTACTGGGGAAGAAGACAAAGCAGACCGACCAGCGGCTGAGGAACCTGTAGCAGATGATGAGGGCAGTTTATACGGTGCATCTCCTCCAAGACACCCTGTTCAAAAGCCTCTACCGCATGATTCGAATGTAAGTAGATGTGATATATCCTTCGCAATTGCACGTACTAATCCAAATAGAATTCTCCAGGCCAAAGTGAAAAATATCGTAGATGGGCTGCCGAACCTGCAGAATCACCTACCGTCGAAGAAAAGTTTAAGGAGTGGATAGACCGTGATAGAAGCTCGGAAAGCAAAACTGCAGCTCAAGAGCTCGAAGCGTGGGCACAAAATGATCTGTATGATGCACGCGAAAAACATCTGGCGTGGCTTTTTGAACAGAGAAGTGTAGCGAGTCGTCGGCTCAAAATTGAAACCGATCAGAGCAAAATACTCCAATTGCAAAACGTCATCATCAGGTGCACGCTTGGTATCAAAGAATCTATTAGATTAGAAGAAAGACGGCAAAGTCTCAACACGTTAAGAAATAATGTGGAGTTGGAAACCAATGTCCTTGTGAAACTCAGATTACAAGAACTACTTGAAGTATTGGAAGCCAAAATTGAACTTGAAGAAAAGGTCGAACTAGTAAAACTCCAAGTTCACATGCGTCCTGATTCCGTTTGGCAAAAAGCGAAGGATATGACGCCTGCCGAGCGAGCGGTGCTAGAGATGCCGGCTGGACATCATTTCGCGGCACCTGCACAACAACCGCCACCTATGGTACTTCGAGAGTCTTTTGCTGAACAGCTTCTGAGAGATAAATGGGAAAAAGAAGATGCACCTGAAGAACTAGAAGATCTTTTCGATCAGATTGGTGAATTCTCCGATTCGGAAGATAGAGACATCTATTGGGAAGCTTTTCAAGATATTCGTCGGCCCATTTTACTCCAGAGAAACAAGGAATTGACCGACCTTTGGAAAGAACAAGCGGATGAGGTGAAAGCTGATCGGCAGGATGCTTGGCTGAAATCGGAAGCTGAAGCTGAAGAAAATTATTGAAATTTCGCAAACTTGATAAGCGAAATAAGGAGGAAGAAGAGGTAAAGAAGCGTCAATTTGCGGATGCCCTCGCGGCGACGGTAGCAAAGAAGAAGATTGAGATACCGAAGTGGATAAGACTATTGAGGATATTGAGGGAGTACATGATGCGCAAAACGCACCACCGGTGGTTGGGCAAAGAAAACGGATGGATATTTCTGGACTCGTAGTCGCTCTTAAAGGCAAGGGAGTCGTTATACCCGAACCATCTACACAAGGTGAAAAGGATTCGGGAAGAAAAGGTCTACTCAGTGTTCGCACAGCGCCTAAAGGAGCTGGAGATGGTGGAGAAGCTGAGACGGCTGTCACCGTTAACGTATCTTTGGCTCCGAAAGATTCCGCGGAAACAGATCCTCGCACCAGTTCAACTGAAGAAGCAGAGAAACATATCACTTCCTGAGCCGCGTCCTGGTTCACCCTTTAGACCTGGAAAATCACTTTCGTCGATTCAAGAACAGAGATCAAGTCTTACCTTTGAAACGGATCGTGAGGTTGCAGATTTCTTGGAATATCTGACGATGGTAAGAAACAACGAGGAGGTAGTCAGGACAGGTGAAGGCGAACTGATTGATTCGGAGTTGATGCGGGTAAAAGAAAAGAGTGTGATGAATCCTGGCCCGATTAACCCAGCCGAAGAGGAGAAAAGTCAAAAGCGGATTCGAGCTGCGAAGAAAAGATTAGAAAAACTGGTTGCTAGACTTATGATGTCCAAAGAGGAGCTAAAGGCTCTTGAGGAGAAGGAGCACCAGCAGAGGAAAGGGCAAAGAGAAGAAGGATCGTGGAGAGGCGGCTGCCTGGGAAGAAGCTGAAAAACTCAGGAAACAAGAATTGAAGGACGAGGAAACGGCAAGAGGTAAGGGCGAAGCTGATGAAAAGAAAAAGGAGGAGGAGAGGAAAAGAGATGAATTAGCCAAAGCAGACAAAGCCGAGAAGGAGAGAAAGGAGAGAGAGGCAAGAGAGATGGCCCTCAGAGATCAGATTAATAGAGAGAGAGAAGAGAAAGAAAAGGCCGCTCAAATCGCTAGGGATAAGATTGCTAAAGATTTGAAAGATAAGGAAGATAAGAAAAAGCCAGGTGCACCGATTGATGTTGGAGATATTTTGAACAAGATAAAAGATGGTCTCCTGACAAAAGCTGGAGCGGTCACTGCTTCATTAGATGATCTCCTGGCTGAAGCTAAACGGGTCAACCCTGCGGCTGGAGGGGTCACTCCTTCCACGCCGGCGGGTAAGGGCGAGGACAAGCCTGGGGAAAAGCCACCTGCGGAGCAAAAGGCAGAAGCTGAGAAGAAACGTGCAGAAATGCAGAAGAAAGCTCAACAGGAGGAAGATGAGAAAAGGAAAAGGGACAAAATCGCACAAGATAAGAACGATGAAATCGAACGGAAAGAGCGTGAACGGGTGGAAAAAGAACAGGCTCAGGAGGCACTTAAAGAGAAAAAACTTGCGGATGAACGTAAGGCTAAAGAGGATAAAGATAAGAAGGAAAATGATCGACTTAGGTTTAAGGAGGAGAGGAGAAAATTGGCGGAAAGATGAAGAAGCAGAAAGAACGCGGAGAAAATGAACGCCTAGAGCGAGAGGCGAAGGATAAGCTAGATCGATTGGTAGATGAACAAATTGATCGTTTGCAGAAGGAGCTTAAACAAAACGAAATTCTGCAGAAAGAAAACGAGAAGAAACGTCAGGAGCAGGAGAAGAAAGATAAAGAAGATCGACTGATAGCTGAAAAAGCGAATCAGTGGGATAACCTTCAACGTGAAAAAGCTAAGAAGCAAAAGGAGAAAGATCAAGTAGAAAGGGAAGAACGATTGGCACGCGATCACATCGAGAAGAAACGGAAAGAAAGAGGAGAGGTTGAAACATCAGTGACAGTAGAAAACCTCGAGTCAGAAGCTCAAAATCCTGAACTCAGAAAGGAGAAAAAGGAACGTGAGAAGAAAGAGCAGGATAAAAAGGATCAAGAAGAAGCTGCTGCACTTGCAAAAAGGGCTCAAGGAGGTGGACTTTTCCAAAGCATCGCCGGCAGATTCAATTTTCCCGACATCTCCTGGTTGAGCTTCAGAGGTCCTACACACTTGCAAGGGAGAGCGGGAACCGTAGCTCCCGATGGTCCGTCGCCATCTATTCGTACTCCTGTCCCGGCTGACTACGAATTGGCCCCTGTAGATATAGCTTGGATGCACGCTTATGCTTCCGAGTCTGCTGAGCGCAGAAAGATTAGTCTCAATCTCACGATTTTCACTTCTGCGAAACAACATTTTCCGGGTGCGGCGCCACCGCATTATTTGGTGTGTCATGATATTCCGATACTGTGGAATGTGTCGCAGTTGAAACGACATCTTTCAGCGATCGTACAAAGGGCGAAGGTGGGAGAGAGGAAAATAGTGAAGCTGAGGATTGAGAGGAGATGGTTGAAGAATGGGAGTAGGACGTTGTTGGACGAGGGATTTAGGGATTGGGAAAGTGTGGTGGTGGTTATGGTGGAGAAGGGTGAGAATGTGAAGGAGGGGGATTGGAAAGAGGTGTGTTAGAGAAGCGGATGGATCGGCAGGGTGGATAGAGGGCTGGCCTGGCAAGGGAGCGCTGAGGATGCCAGTGGATAGGAAGGTTTGGTTGGCGGAGGCGTTTGAGGGGGTTTTTGAGAGTCCGGTGTTTGGGGAGTAGAGGGGGTAGTGGTGATGATTTCAATGCTTTGTGAATTGTTATGAATGAGGTATATCCTGTTATTGCTCTGAATTTTGGTCTCGGTTTTTTCAAGTACATAGTTCGGTAACATTTATAGATAAAATTGTATTCTTTTTTTGATAATCAACAATTTGTTTGCAATTGAAATTGACGTGACATTGTATCTTCAAGTCATGATGAATCACAGAGTATTGCAAGAAGAAATTTAATCTGATTCACTATATTTATAAGCCCGGTTATTGGGCTTCCGCTTCTTTTTGTCTTTAAGCAACAAGATTGACTTTCTTCGTCTTACAATAATCCATGATTCACCATAAAAATCAAAGTGTTAAATTCTGTGATGTGTTTGTTGTTCGTTTTCCAATAGTAGGTATTCCAATATCAGTCCTCTTTTAATAGCTTATTTTTCCTCTCGATTGAATGTTTTTATTACTAGCGTGTAGATGAAACTTCTCAACTCTCTTCTATCAGAGATCGAATTTGATCAATTCTTTCAAGAAACCTCACAGGGATGGTCATTAAACGAGAATATTTTCAAAACAGAATTTTAAATGTTGATAGGGTTCATAAGAAGTATAGTGAATGATCTCAAGTCATATATTATACCTAGGTAGCTGTATTAGATGAGCGAGGGTGCTAAATTAGTACACAATGCTAACTGTCTAGACTGGTGAATAGAATGAATATGTAGTATCATACGACTGCACCTATTGCGAAGTTCTCCTTTGTATGCCTACCTAGGTAGGTATAGGTATATCAATTGAAACAATACTTTAATCAAGTGTTATTGGAAAGATTTATTTCTGCTAGCGTGAAGAAAACAAAGTGAATTGTCGCTCACATGATTGACGAAATGAGACCATAGATCCTCGCTTAAATTTCAAGGAAAATTAGCAAGGCTCGTCAAATTTCTCAATCTCAATTTACATACCTTTTCTTAACACGGCCCGATTCTGATAAACTTGATAAATTACATTGATAAGCCACACCCTCACTTTTTCTCCAAATCAAATGCGGCTTTTGGATTGATATCAACTTACCACCAGCCATGTCTTCTCCCCAGAATACTGCCTCCACTGAAATGGACCGCAGATCTTCATTAAGAACTCGAGTTCCAAAACAATCCGATATTAAAGAACCATCAAATTCAGCTCAAAGATCTCTCAGACCTTTTCTTAAGCAAGCCACGACTACCACCGGAACACTTGCCCCGTCTTCAATAAATACTACGGCCACAACATCAGCAACTGCGGATACAGCTAGAAAGTATCGCTCGATTTATCCAAAGCAGGATCCCGACCTAATCCCAAGTGAACAATTGAATCACACAGCTATACGTCCTGCCACCCGTCCCTTTTCTTCTTTTTCACTTAAAAAGAAGACAAGACTTTACAAAAAGGCCCCACCTTCAGTATTAGAAAGACAGGCACTCCCAAGATCATCATCTTTTATTGCAGATTCTACAAACAAGTCCCCAAAGGGACACAATAAGAAGTCAACTACTTTAGCCACAAAATCTATCCGTCTTCCTCTTACTCACAAGGCAAGTTACAACTCCGAATCTCAGGATGAAGATAAAAAGCCAGCTACACAATCAACGATGGCACCGAAGCAATCTACAAGTTCATCCCAGGATCCATCCCAGAAAAGCAACAAGCGTAGTCGCGAGAAGTTTGAGGAACCTGAGTGAGTAGTTTTTTCCAGCAGCTTTTTTCATCATATCTAACAATTTTCCAGAAAGATTTGCATGGTTAGTTGTGGTCTCGGTGGTCAACTAGAAGATTACGCGACATTTTACTTCACAGAAACCGTTTTCGAAGCTTTACTCGAAATCATACCCCACTTTAACAAGTTTCGCAAGCCTTACTCCAACTCGGTCTATGTGCGCGGATACATGGCTTCATCTTCCAGAGTCATCATTCAATGGCTTACTAAGGGTACAGTTATGCCACTAGAGTTGCATAAGCCAGGACGAGCCGAAGGTCTTTCTAACTACCGTTTTGTCGACGCGTACATCATGGCAACCGATTTCCATATCCCTCGATTGTGCGATGAGCTTATGGATTTGGCTATGAGAGAGTTTTGGGGTGGGGATGATAAAGCAGCCATTTTACCAGATGTTCGGGAGTTTAGTACCGTTTATTCACAAACTGATCCCGGTAATCCTTTGAGAAAGCTCTATATTGCTGTTTTTGAGTATGTTTACCATGCTCTCTCCCTTCCCTCTCTTCTTGAACACAAACTAACACAAACTTCAGCTGGCTCTTGACCTCCGATGAATCCAACAAAGACACTGGTAGACCTAAGATTCCTAGTCACGAGCTTTGGAGCCTCCTGTCCCGCTCTGAAAATGCCGGTATCGACTATATCGAATACTGCAGAAGCCAAATCACAGATCGCGGAACTTATGAGCATCCTCTTGATCCACGAAAATGGAACCTATGCGAATTGCATCAGCATTTTTCTCATCATGACTGTCCTATTTCAATCAAACGTCGCAATGCGGCTGTAGAGGATAATTGAGCTTGCGGCGTTGCTTGTTCCCCGATAGGATATTTCTGGGTCAATTGTACAGTTCGCGGATATTTCGAGAGAGTTTATGGTATGGAGTGATCTGAGATCACTATCCATGGCTTGGGCGCTTTAAGTGTAGCATAAAGTGAGTTTGGGATACCTTTGAGGGGAAAATAGATTGATTGATTGATTGATTGATTTCATTTACGTCCATCTTCAGTCTAAGACTATATAGGACGGCTAGGCCTCTAGAGGCTCTAGCGGATAACTTTTTATTCTACAAAAATGGATATATACGATTTAGGGAAGTAAAAACAAATGCTGGGGAACAGTGCCCGCTCATTATACACATTGTATATAATAAGAAAATTGTGAAAATTAAGAAATTGTAAGGAAATCAAAGCCCTCTCTTATTTCTCTAATTACTTTTTCTTCATTCTCTTCTCCTCTCTCCTCTTCTACTACTATTCCTTCCTCTATCTCGTCTTGTATGAGAGCCCTGGCCAGGTGCCATGCTCTTGTAGCGATTTGGTGATATTGATGAATTTAATGGCTAATTCAATACCTACTTTTGTATGGAGTAGGAACTGTATAGTGATCTTAGATAGTGGTATATTCTTGAATATTTCTTTTCTCTCTGCTTTGTATATGGGACAACTAATAAGGAGGTGTTGTGGAGCCTCAATATTACCACATATACATTTGTTATCAGAGAGTTTGAATCGATGTAAATAAGATTTGATATATCCATGACCTAATTTGAGTTGAAAATATGCGCTAGCAGTGTTTCGCTTGGTTTCGCTTGGTAGCTTGATTTTCGATCCTATCTTCCATGGAAATAGCTTTGAATAGGTCAAAGGGGATTGATTTGATCTGAGTTTGTATTGATTGAGAGTAGAAAGCCATTGATCTGAATCGTATTCTTTGATCATCATACCTAGAAGTCCAAAACTTGTTTCGTTGAGATAGAACATATTGTGGTTGCTTCCTTTGCTAGTTTATCTGCTAGCTCATTTCCTTCTACTAAAGTATGTCCTGGAACCCAATTTAGAGATACTTCAGCTCCTTTTGCTTGATGATTTCCGCTGCTTTGATTGCTCGAATCTGATAGGCCTGTCCAGGGTGGTCTGATGGTGTTTTTAAGCGATATAGACCAGCTTGGTTGTCCGAATATATCTTGAATTTGTTGCCAATACAGGCAATTGTTGCTAGCATATTCAATAGCTCTAGTAACCCCGTAAAGCTCTCCATTATACACTAGTTGATTGCTACCAATATTCAATTGTTGTTGATATGAAATTCGATTGTTTGGTTGTATTGCGATTATACCTACACCTATACCTATTCCTTTTTCAGTAGAAGAGGCATCAGTATAAATGTAGGTAGTATCCTTATCTCTGTGATTGAAAACGATATTGTGAAGAATAGCAGTATCTTCTTTTGATGAATTGCTAATATTAACTCTGAAGGGAATTTCCTTTTTCCATGGGGGGAAGTTGAAGTGAATAATCTTTTCAAGTGAAATAGGATTGAGATCCTGATTTATTGATCCTCTAATTCTATCAAGTTGGATTGATTTATATCGTTTTCTTGAGGAGTAGGGATTACTTCCAAATCGGTTTGATATTGAGCTGATATTTCTTTTTCGATATTGATTGGATGGTTTGGCGAGAGTTTAGCTAGACGAAACGCGTATTGCCTAACATTTGAATCTAATCGAATTTTTGGGGGCTTTAGGCCTGCTTCTACTTCCATTGGAAGGATTGGGGCTGTTTTGAAGACTCCTAATATCTTTCGAAGAGCTAGGTTTTGAAGCGATTGCATTATATTCTTGAAATGAGTTTGACCTCTCCACCAAATCACTGATCCGTAATCAGCTATACTGGTTACACATGCTATATATAATTGTCTAAGGGCTTTAGGATTAAGGCCCTTTTCGGTGTTAGCTAATCGAGCCATTCGATGGAAGGCACCTTTCGCTTGTGTGATTCGAATATTAACATGTTGATCGAATTTGAGGTTCGGGTCGAACCATATTCCCAGCCATCTAATGAGAGATTGGGGTACAATTATTTCCGAATTGGGTAGCGTGATTGGATATTTTTTCGTCAATTTGGATGATGAAAAGTGCATTAGCTCTGTTTTTGCCAAATCGAATTGGATTGCATTTCTAGAACTGAGTTCATAGATTTGTTTTGTAACTCTCTCTAGGGTTTTGATATTCTTTTTCCATGTAGATGAATGTGTGATTAAAGCAATATCATCTATATAGGAAAGAAACTTGATCGAATTGGGTAAAAAGAGCTCCCTGATATATATAAGGAAGAGAATTGGAGAAATCGGGCTGCCTTGTGGTATTCCGGTCGAAATTGGCTTGAAAGATTCGATTTGATTATTAAAAGATAGTTTCAATTATCTTTGTTGAAGAAATGAGGCTATCCAGGCTATCAGATTTGTGGGCAGTT